GGCTAGCGCAGATAGCCCTCGTGTAGCTTTGCGCGAAATTCAAAAACAAACAAACAAACAGATATACAAAATTAGAAATTACATCATCACGTGTAACTGAGTGAAAATTGTTTCCATAATTTTATAGATGGTTTATCTTCAACGCTTTTTGAATGCTAATACGAACTTATACAACACTTATGAGTTTATAGGTTCTTTTGCATTTATCTTCAGTTCTGTATCTTCTGTCTTGATGAAATTTTCCGTTTTCGTGTCAAGAGGAACCGTTAGATCTCACGACCTCAGGTGAAACGTTCGAACAGGGCGAATATGTAAACTAAACAGAGAGTTACCACATGTTCACATATGTTTAAACAGAGAAATTTTCTACTGGTATATTCCGCTCGTTTTAAATTGATTATAAATCACACAAAAATCACTACGTTATTTGCTATGTTACCATGCCAACCTAATATAGCTGAAAACACGACAATGGTATAAAACAAGTAATCTGCAAAACTGGTTTTTTTCACTTCACGTGGCTCTTTTGAGACATAAAATAACAGCATCACACTTACAGATACTCTTACTCAGATTTCCCTAATCTTAAAGTTTTGACGAAGCTACGTTTTATTTTCGTGAGTCTGTTCAAGGCTTGTTTATTAGAATAATTAGCAGAACCTATAACCACAGACTTGAATTGACTTACAGCAAACGTAATCGTTTACGTCAACAACTTACGTGATGTCAAATAAGTACAACGAACGTATGTTTGCTGTCCCTGTAGTTTAGTGATTTTTTTATATGAAATGGCGTTATATTATTTATGTTTCAGGGTAGTTTTCAGACAAACTATTATGAGAGCATTTCTGCTTCTACCTACGAAATTCACAAAATTTAGTTTTCTTAGAACTAGGTTACTGTTTTCTAACTTCTTTGACCTCGAATTATTACAGTAGCACATATATAGTTTTGAGATATTACAAAGATCAGAGAATACCTTTAACTTTAACAATTTAGAAGAAAACTTTTGTGTATAAGTATATACATTTAAAACATCATAAAGTAGGCTTAGCCCACATTAGGCCTTTTTTCTGGTCTTTGTTAATCCAGTTAGGCTTAGCCCACATTAAGCCTTTTTTTTCTGGTCCTTGTTAATCCTGTATATTTTCTTTCTTCCATTTTGTTGTTGTTGTTGTCGGGCACTGATACCCCGATTTTTGTTGTTGTCGGAAGGCGTTGATGCCCTAGTTTTTGTTTTGATTTCTAAAAATTGTGACAATTATGTGTAGTCGTTAATTTAACTTTACGTTTTAAATACATAAATATATATGATTTTAGACCAATCATCTCTTATGATGGTTGATTTGATACTGACTCCTGGCATGCACTCTGTGTAGGTTGAACCAATGACATGTTCTTTAATCATTTCACGCAGACCTAAAATCAAATCTTTCACGATTAATAATAAATCTAACAAATAAACATGTGATTATGTAGTGTATTCGGCACGTAAACATTTTTCTTTTTTTTGGGGGGGGGGGTTATCTTCATTCTTCCTGTCTTCTGGATTGGTTTTAAGAGCTCGTTTTGGGTTCCGCGCTGAGCTCGTCAACCGTTGTTGTAAACGAAGAAAGAAAAAAACAACCCAATTTTTAAGGCGAGCACAACATTCCGGGTGCACGTGTGCCACGTTTTTCGTCAGCTCACAGAAGCATGAAAGAAAAGTAAGATCGTTCATTGGATTTGAAAGACCGAACAATTGCCGGTGGGCCACAAAAGAAAAGGGGAATTAAACGTGACCTGAAGAAAAGCCAGCATTTGACAGCACTTCGATCGGCAACTGAAAAGCGGAAAATTCTAAAGAAAAACAGCCCATTCATGAAAGGAATTATACCTTAATAGTTAAAGTTCTGATGAAGGCAGGCTTCTAGGACAACTGACAATGGTAGAAAAATATAAAAATAAAATTCATAGGAAAAATGTGACGTTTACGTAGAGAAATAAAGTTGTTGTATAGGTCAATAGATAGGTGAAGGAATATCTGCCTGACACATGATGAAAAACTGAGATAAGTTGAGTGGTTTCTTTGGTTTTCCAAGAGTACGTTGTAGCCTTTAAGCTTTAAACTGAAGAGTCTGGGTTCAACACCCACCGGCCTTTTTACCGAAGAAAATACTGATGGTCGATAACGGTTGGAGAATCTGCACTGATAATTCAGACGGTTTGTGAAGCATGACGAATGGTGTAAGAAAAGAAAGGTGAAGAGTCAGATCAAAGAAAGATTAGAGATGAACCACACTATTCATTTCCAACTCTAGATATGTTGTTTCTCCGTAAGAGACCGGCGATTAAACCAAGATTTTTCACCTCTAATCTGGGTTCTCTTCGTAATTCAACTTATATCACAAATCTTTGAGTCAGCAGAACTGAAGCGACGCATCCACGGATGATATATTCATGGTAACTTTGTCATTTGTTGATTTTATCAAATATGGTAATTGCCAGAATGAAAGCATTCACCTCACTGTGCATATATATATATCAGTTACCATTTGTAGACAATCATGATCCATTAACAGAAGTCTTACTCGATAGAAGTAGACCATCAGTTACCATTTGTAGACGATCATGATCCATTAACAGAAGTAATAGTCGATAGAAGTAGACCATCAGTTACCATTTGTAGACGATCATGATCCATTAACAGAAGTCATAGTCGATAGAAGTAGACCATCAGTTACCATTTGTAGACGATCATAATCCTTTTATAAAAGTCTACAATAAAACCACCCATGATTCACTATAGATCCAATTATTCACTCTCAGTCAAACTTATGATCATTAATAAGAGAGAGAATCCTCAATAGCCGCGGCACTTGAAATTCTTTTAGACAGGAGTAGAGTAAATTTATCTATAAGTCCTGTTTTTCCTTTTTATTAGCTGTATCTTTGTGTGCCAGCAATACCAAACGTGGGGCACGCGTATACCCGATTCGATTTTATTACTCATCAGAATCTCTACCAACCTACCCTCAAATTGAAATTATTTTAAGCTGGATTAGAGTAAATTAATCTCTGAGACCTTGGGCGTGGTCAAATATATCAATCGAAAGGGTTTGACCTCCTGAGTCAAGAGATGATGGAGGAATTAAGTCAAAGCTCTGAGACATTCTATGAGTCGCCATGCCGCGGCTAAAAATATGCCAAAGTGGTTAAAATAAAATTTATGATGATCAAAATAACAAAAAGGAATTCCACATTATCAACAGGTCTTCACAAATTATCTCAAATAACTAGAAACAAACGCTTCTCTGTAGCCACCGAAAACAAATACTGAATAACTTTACAGCCAAACCATGCCATCCTTCAAACATGATAAAATCAACTGTCTTTATAAGATAGCCATGTTATTCATTATCAGTGTTTAATTTTTGTGGACACAAGCTATCCTAAACGATTCTTAGCAGGTTATTATAAATCTCTAACAAAGAGTAAACACATTACTATATCTAACTTAAAGCATTATCACTTAAAGTACAGTGTTTAATTAAACACAGTGTCGCTTAAGTGTGTCTAAATAAAAAAATTATCACTTAAA